CTCTCTCTCTCTCTCTCTCTCTCTCTCTGTCTCACACACACACACACACACACTCACATACACACGAACACACACGCTTCATTTATAGCACATCTTTTTTTCAACAATGACCGTTAAGTACACACCGACCCCTGCTCTACCAAACAGTTACCATGACGACCACAAAGTAAAGCACTCACCAACCCCCGCCCTACCAAACAGTTACCATGACGACCACAAAGTAAAGCACTCACCAAGCCCTGCTCTACCAAACAGTTACCATGACGACCACAAAGTAAAGCACTCACCAACCCCTGCCCTACCAAACAGTTACCATGACAACAACAAAGTAAAGTACTCACCGACCCCTGCTCTACCAAACAGTTACCATGACGACCACAAAGTAAAGTACTCACCGAGCCCTGCTCCTGTCCCAGGGCGGCGTTCACGACACCTTTGAGGATGTACTCCTGGGGCGTGGTGGGCTCCAGGTCTTTGATCAGATTGTAGGCTTCGGGGATGTCATCTGTGCCAGATTGCGAAAGGTGAGGTGAGGTGAGGTGAGACGAGACGATGAGGTGAGGGGAGGTGAGACGAGACGATGAGGTGAGGGGAGGTGAGATGAGACAAGACAAAATGAGACGAGATAAGGTGAGGTGAGATGAGACCAGGTGGGGTGAGACGATACGATGAGGTGAGACGAAACGATGAGGTGAGGTGAAGTGAGGTGAGGTGAGATGAGGTGAGATGAGATGAGACAAAATGAGACAAGGTAAGGTCAGGTGAAAGGAGACGATTAGGTGAGATGAGACAGTGAGGTGAGGTGAGAACAGATGAGATGAGAGGAGGTGTGATTTTATTGATCCCCACAAACAAAGAAAAACTTGCCACGACACTCAGTCCAAAACAAAACATCACACCCCTTAACTCCATCACCATCAATCAATCAACAAGAAGGAACCCTGTATAATTTGTGAGGCAGCGTGGTGGAATCAGGCTCTCATCAAAATAATCAAAGTGACAAAACTTGCATTTTTCCGCAGGTTTGTGAATTTTTATAAAATGTTTGTTTTTTGGCTCAACACCTTTCATGCCCATTATAGAACTCATTTCGGTGTGGATTTTTCTGAAAAACGATTAAAGGCACAAAAAATTAAAATTTTCAGTTACCACGGACTCTTAAGCTATGGAAAAAACTAATCTTTGGCGGCCATTTTCAAACTGATTTTACCTCTGAAAACAGGTGACCCCCACCTCCTTCTTTTGCAAATATCTCGACTTGTATTCAAGATAAATGGATATTTTTTTTCATCCAAATAACGAAAAAATGAACAAGCTTTAAGATGATACCAATAACTCTACTTACCTAAAAATTGACGAGAGCCTGATTTCACCACGCTGCCTCACATATGTTTTCATTTATTCTTTTTTTTAAAAACATACGTTCTTGTCACTTATTTTCTTCTTTTTTTTTTTCATTCCATCAACGTGAAGGACAGCTGCATATGTTTTCACTCAATTCAAAAGAAGACACCCCACCTTCTACCAAGGACTCCACTTTAACCCTCTCCATCACCTGCTATCAATCATCGAGGGCCGCACTCAAACACTCCACAAGATAAACCCATCGACTATCAACGGCTTCACTGTGACACTCTATGTTAACCAATAGAATCAGTGGTGGCAAATACAAATTAGGCAATTAGGCCCTTCTTCATTTTTCACAAAATTTCTACTTCTTATAAAAATACGCTGTTGGTGCGATAAAGTAAAAAAAACCAAAAAACAAACAATTTAAGTAGAATACTGAGCAAAGAAGACAAAAGTCTTTCAAAACTTATACTGAAAACTAAACAAATTTCTTTAAAAATATACAAAATAATTCTAATGCTTCCTTGATAACTTACACATAAAAATGTTACGAAAATGGTTTAGGCTAATAATTTATTTTCAAAATGAAACTTCTATGGAAGATTGTAGAAATCAGTAGAAAGTGTTTGTCAGGGGTCTATCTAATAATTAAGAATAATAAAAAGCATTTGTCTTGCACATATACCTGCCCAACAGCAAGCTCTATGAGCTTTATAATCTACATCGACTCCGAAAAAAGCCATTTAGAAAAGTGTCGAATGAATTAGTTCTACACTGTGTGGTCGATATCTAGGGTGAGAAAGGCGATGATGATGGCGATGATGATGGTGATGCTGTTGATGATGTGTTGATGATGGCGCTGACGATGATAATGGTGATGACCATGATAACGACGACTATGACAATGATGATGGTGCTGGTAATAATGATAACGATGAAGAAGATGAAGATGATGATCAAGAAAATGAAGAACAAGACGAGCAAAGACCCGTCATCCCCAACTACCGTCCAGGCCACTCACCTTGTTTGAGGAAATAGATGACCAGGTTGAGTCTGGCCTCGGGAATGACATCGATCAACGGCGGCAACACTTGCAGGGAGCCTTCTCCACTCCTGAACACCACCTGGACCCAGCAGACAGGACAATAATAGTAACAATAATGATAATGATGATGATACACAAATTAATATTAACAAAAATAATATCAATAATCATGATACAGAAATAAAC